GGGGAGCGGTGCGGCGCTCGGCGGGGGTGCTCAGCAGGGCGGCGCTTTTTTTTGCTGCTTGGGCATCAAAAAAGTTAGACCCGGTCCTGATGGCGTGATATGGTATTGTCCTTACTTCTGCGCTGCTCCCTGGAGAGCTGGGTCCTCAGCAGCTGCCACTTTCCGGCTGCCCAGCTCTGAAGGCAGCAGCAGAGAAGTAAGGGTGGCATGGTAGGGTATTGCCACCCTTACTTCTGCACTGCTGCTGGCGGGGCGCTGCCTTCAGAGCTGGGCGCCCGGCCAACAGCCTCCACTCTCTGGCTGCCCAGCTCTGAAGGCAGCGCAGAAGTAAGGGCGGCAATAACGCAACCTCCCTAAAATAACCTTGAGATCCCCCTGCAACTCCCTTTTGGGACCCCCAATTTGAGAAGCGCTGGTCTCCCCCGTGAAATCTGTATAGTGTAGGGTAAAAGCACACACAAAAGACCAGATTTCACGGGGGGGGAGACCAGATTTCACGGTCCGTGACGCGTTTTTCATGGCCATGAATTTGGTAGGCCCCTGTGTATGATTTAACTGGTATGTTGTGGCAGCACCTACCTGCTAAGCAGGTCAGAGCCCTGCTGCATTAGGTGCCATCCAAACACAGTAAATAACAGTCCCTGTCCCACACCACTTACCTCTCTCTCTTTTGAAGGTCTTCTCCCTCAACTCCTGCAGTCCGTTTTTCAGAAGCAGATCCTGCTGCTGCAGCGAGCAATCATTGAAAGTGAGCTTCTTCCCTTTCCTCTGCATGCCACCCCCTCACCTTTGGTTTCTGCTGGTAGCACCTGTAGCTGTAGTAAAGGGAGTGGAAAAGAGCGCAAAGGTCAACACGGGGACACTGTAGGGTTCACGAGTGTTGCGAAGGGAGGGGGCTGGGGTCAAAGGGCTGCTGAGTGTTGACACGAGGCTGTCAGGGAAAGGGCCTGGTGGGAAGGGAGGGGTGTTATCAGACACTGAGGGCAATTTCAGAGCAAGAGCTGGAGCCTGGTGGGGAAGGGGCAGGACGGCATGTAGTATCTGTGAATCGCCGAGTGGGCTGGGGACGGAGGAGCTGTCAGGCAGGACGGGACTCAGCAAGTCTGCAGAAGATTCTGGGGCCTAGAAGGGAGATCTCATCCTGGGCCGCCGAGGGGAGATTTCTGAGTAGGTCTGGGATGGTCTCCAGCTTTGCGGTAGGGCTAAGGGGAAGCAGAGCTGCGCTTTGAACTGCCTGCATGACACCATGAGAACTGAGACTCCAGGGAAAATGAGGGGGTTACAGTGCTTGAGGGGAGGGGATAAGTAAGATCATGGGCAGAGTAGCAGGGCCTGGTTTTCACACCAGAGAGCACTGAGGAAGCAGTGCCAAGTGGTTAGAGCACTAACTGGGGACTTCGGAGACCCAGGTTCAATTCTCTGCTCTGCCACAAACTCCCTTTGTGACCTTGGAGAAGTTCCTTAGCCTCTGGGCCTCAGTTTCCCTTCTGTACAACAGGGATAGTAGCACTGCTCCACACGGGGCGGGTAGGAAGGATATAACAAAGAGTGTGAGGCACTCAGGTGCTGCCGTGATGAGGGCCAGATAAGTACAGTGTCTGTTGTTAATGGCGATCATTTGAAACAAGGGCTCTTTAACCCTAATGAACTCTCCCTGCGTTCCCTAGGCAGACTGGAGTGTGAACGTCACTGTGGTAAGTCAGGGGGGTTTGCGGGGTTCATTGTTAATGATTTAGCTCTGTGGTTCTCAGCTCTTTCCACCTTGCAGCCCCCTTTCCAGTTAGCCATGTGGGGAGAGCAGGGTGGGCGTGACCCCAGACACCTTCCAGTCCCTGTTTTGAGACCCCCGATCTAAACAAAAAGCAGGACAGTGAATCCGCCCAAATCAGTCCTGGTCCCCTTAAAGTTAATGGCAGAACTCCCATGGGCTTCACGGGGGGCTGGGATTTCATCCCAGACCTATAATCTCCACTGTTCCAGCAGCGACCAGAAGTTACTGCTGATATGTCTAACAGGCGACTTCCCCACGCAGTCAGTTTCACTCTTGTATGTTACAGGAATCTTCAGATATGACGCTGTCTCCTGCATGAATTGTAACTTCTCCAGACCGGCTTGCTTTGGATATAACTGCGAGTAGGGAGCACGTCTTTTTATTATATATATATATATATATGAGAGAGAGAGAGAGAGAGAGAGAGAGAGTGAGAGTGTGTGTGTGTGCGCGCGCGCGCGCGCTCGCCATCAGCTCCGGCTGAGCCCTGTGGCTGTGCTGTACCCAGGGACATTGGTAACTGCCTAAGAGAGGGCAGAGGAACTATACGTCTTCTTTAAAGAGACTAGATTATTAACAGGGCTGTTGATTAACCAAGTGGTCCTACTAGAAGAGAAACATCTTAAAAAAAAGTCCTTACCCCACCCCTCTAGCCGGCTGCCTTCAAACCTTCCCTTTCTTCAACAGGTCATCAGAAGAATGGGAAACAGCCTTGAAAGGCCTTTTTGATTACATGTAAGTGTCAGCTCAGTGTTCGGCTTTCCAGGATCTGGCACGAAGGCTGTGTCTACACTAGGAGAAAGAGGTTAAAAACACATTTTCCTAGTGAAGACAAGGCCTTGTGGATGGTGTTGGTTTAGGTTTTTAGTTCATTACACAGGGTTTTTAATGAGCTTTCCAAATACAATACAAGGCTCTGATCCCGGAACCCTTACTCACATGAGTAACTGGAATGGGACCTGTTTGAACTAGAGTAGATCGTTTAGAAAAACATCCACTCCTGCTTGAAAGATTGCGAGTGGTGGAGAATGAAAACCCTAACCAGTAGGGGGCAGCAGTTTGGGGAAAATGCACCAGGGCGGGAGAGGCCCCAGATTCAAGAGCTACTTTGACCGTCTTTGGTCCCTCATCTAAGAGAGGGCAGGCGTCGATGGGGATGGAGTTCTGGTTTCTGTTTCCAGCATCTGCACGGCGTGCAGCGATGTAGCTGCCCTCACGCCAGGAAACCAGAGCCATGCACTGATGGCTTGAGGACAGGGGGAGAAAATGATGGGCCCCAAAATGGAATGATGTTGTTACCTTTAAACCCGGTGTGGCTCTGAGATGGGAGCAGGGAGGCAGCAGCCCCGCTCAGATACTTTTGCAGGGGAGGAAAGATGTTGAAAGCACCATGCCTAGGAAAGCACTGAGCTTCCTCCCCACAGCACATGCTGGGCTGGTGTCTTCTGTCCCTATAGCAGTAGCTGTAGGAGGTAGCACTGGCCGGGTAGGCTCTGGATTTCCTCTTCTCTAACACGCGAGTGACAATGTTAGTTTAACATTTGCTGCTGGAGACCTTTGCCCAGGTTCAGAGCTCTGCGCTCCGGGGGTTCTTCTAGTGGAACTCGACTGGAGGTCTGACTTGGCAGCCATCAGTGCAGTATTGGGTTGTCTGTGTCCTGCCCAGCCCTTTCACACTGAGCTCACACGGGCACCATGCTGGGCCGGCTCAGACCCTGTCTATAAGGTTGAGTCCCAGAGCGAGGGCGAGGTGAGAACCCACCATTCAACAGCTGGGGGAATCCCTGACACTCCTATTTCACTGTTAAGTTTCAGAGTAGCAGCCGTGTTAGTCTGTATCCTCCTGTTCTTCTATTTCACTGTGTGTTTCTTCTTTTTCAGAAACAAAATATACCGGTAAGTGGGGCATTTTTTTCCTTACCAGTTGGAAGAACTCCAGGACCAGTAGCAGATATTTTCTATCTACCTCTAATACTTTCCACGCTGGTGACTCCCTGTAGAGAAACAGGGACATGAAATGCTGCAGCCCTTTCTCTGACCCCCGGGCTGATGGTTTCTAATGGGAAACTGAAGGCATCTGTGCTGCAGAAGGGGGAAGGGCTGCTACCTTGGGGTCAGATTCTCCTTTCACTGACGGTTATAAATCAGGGGTAACTCCATTGACTGCAACTGAGTTACACCAGGCTAAGTGAGAGCTGAATTGGGCCTAGCCTGGCGGTCAGGGAGTTAGCCTAGGACTTGGAAGACCTGGTTCAGTTCTCTCCTCGGGTGAATCACGTGTCTCTGGCTCAGAAATCAGTGGGAGTCAGGGGCCTATCCAGCTTTGAGGAGCTGGGCCTTAGGCCCTGTGCGGGTAGTAGCTGGTCTCTACCTGCATTGATCAGTGTCAACCCGCCATTGATTCAGGGCTGCAGGGACCAAGGCTGCCTCTTCCAGGAGCAGTGCTCTGAACACGATGGCAGACTCGGCCCAAGTGAAGGAGAAACTCCCCCGTTCAGGGGCTCAACCCTCTGAGCCTGGATGGGGAGCTGCAACCCCTCTGCCAGCCCTTCCTGTGGCGGGGGGGGGGGGGAAGAGGCGCTGAGCTGGAGTTAATCCCTTGTTCATAGGGGACCTGGTAGTGCCCTTGTAGCCTGGCTCAGGGATGAATTCTGGATGCTTTCCTCTGAACTGAAGGGCCTCTAATCTCATGTTTTCTCCTCAGGCAATCAGCAAGGTGGCTAGTTGCCTTGAGAAGGATCCCAGGCTTCCAGTGAGTGTCTGTTCGGCTCCTGTTTGGGCTTCAGGGACCCAGTTCTTCAAATGGCCTCCCTGAAGGGCAGAGATTCCTTTCACCCGGCCTAGGGAGCCAGCTGCCACGAAGCACTCCAGGCCCATGCCAGGCCTCTGCTGCTGAGTGCTCCTCCAGCGCAGAGATACACCCAGTGCCTTAGAAGAGGAGGACTGATCCTTCAGTTCCTCTCCTGGGCTCAGCCCTTTAACGCCTATGGATGAGAAATGAGCGGTTACTAGGCATTGCATAGCTGTATTCCCCATGCACTGCTTTGACAGTCCCCTCCCATTGCTTTGGGGAGTGGGATTAAGACCAGGCCGATCAATCCTCCAGTGACTGCTCCGCTTCTTAACTCATATGACGACTGTGCGGTGTATGGCTGGCCAGTGCAGAAGCAGCAGGCCACTGGCTGCGATTCCCAGCTCTGCCACTGGGACAGCTGGGGCAGTTCCCCCTTCCACCCAGAGTCTGTTGAGTCTGTAAGCTCTTCAGGGCAGGGACTGTCTCTCGCCGTACAGCATGACGGGGCTCTGACCTTGTCTGGGGTCCGTGGGCTCTACCATACTGATCTGTAATCCCAGGATAACTAGACTCCATCCTATTCTGGTGCAAGCAAGCGAGCTTTCTGGCTCAGGGGCTTGGGGGCAGGGGTTGGTTTTTGACAGCAGTGCTCAGCTACCGCCCAGCTCTCTAATCAGCCTCTTTGTCTTTCAGCAATTGCACATCCACCAGGTAAGTAGGCACCAGGAAGGGGACTTGTTAATTTGAGCATAAACTGTAGCCAGCGTCCTGCTCTCTCAGCAAAAGAGCCTCAGTGTTGAGGGGAATCTTTTCTGAGGGATGGGGCTATAGAAGAGCTAGATTATCATTTCCCTCCCACCTTGCTCCTGCCCTTGGAAGCAGTGGGGGTACAGTTTCATGCAATTTTTAATAACTCTGAGAACAGACAAGCCTACTTTAGTATTGAGGTGCCATGGTGAAGCCAGAGAACTATATGCAACCCCCACTGAATTATTTCAGATTTTCCTCCCTGCTTCTTCCCCCTAGTGTAATGAACATGGCACTCCTGTCCTAGGACTGGCAAGCAGAGCAGTTTAGGTAAATGCAGCTCCCGGCCACTACGCTGCACTGCTGCCCACACCGTAGGAACCCTGGCTTTGCAGTCACTTTTGTGGCCAAAACTAGTCTTGGCCCTAGTACTTCCTGCTGAGACCAGTCACGACCCTCTAGATTTAAGGAGGTAGAAAACAATCTTCACAAATTGACTAGTTGTTGCTTTTAGTAGGGACTGTGTTTAGCGTATTTCCTTCCACTGAGAGAGAGAGAGAGACACACACACATGCCCCTTTCAGCCCCTGCAGCATTTCATTTTTTACTAGAAAATTATTAATCTTGAATGTTTTATTCTCCCTTCCCTACAGTCCAGCAATGCTAAACTTTAAAAGTAAGTTTGCAAATAGAGGATTTCTTATAGCTTTAAGGGGCTGGGGCTAGCTGCGTCTGCGGCTACAGTTGACGTTTTCCTCCGGGTCTCCCTGGCCAATAGCAGCACTGGTAGAGACGGGAGACGGTGTTTGCCAGCATTCTAACCATGGTGTGGCCCTGCTCACCAGGGACAGAGGAGATGGAGCCAGGCCCGGCTCTGTTGGCCCTAGCTGGGGGGTGGTTTGGGGATACATGTTTAGCAGAATCGCTAGTATAAACAACAGAGGAAGGGTTCTCCAATCTGCACTACTGCTGGAGGTTATTGGCCTGCACAGAACAGTGGAGGATGCAGTTTGCAGACGTTTGGGGGACAAGGACGATGACTGGGGTCCCTCGTTCAGCCTCCTGGAAGGTAATGGTTTGTATGTGTTTTGCCATTGTTTGTCAGGCCTTAGCAGGAGTTGAAGTCTAAAAATGAGTAGAAGAGGGGACACAGAGAGTATTTCCTAAGGGAAAAGTGAATTCAAACTATCCAGTACGTGGAGCTGGAGCCAGCAGGTGTCCAAGTCTGAAAGGCAGAAGCTGGATTTAAAATGCCGAGTGGTTAGCAAAAGTCATAATCCTCACACCAGCTACACTCATGTTCTGCTTCAGCAGGCTGTTTCCATTTGCCCTTGGTTGCAAATGCACAAGAGGGGGCATCCGTGCTCCTCTAACCATGGGACTGATGCCAGGGCAGGCCTTCTCCATGCTGCCTCCCCCCACCCCCCCCGAGCTCTGCCAAGGCACCTGGCACCTCACCTGTTAATTGTGGCTGTTTTATTAAATGGCAGTTTTTCTTGAGTTGAGACTAGGTCAAACCCTTCCCCGCTGCCCTGTGGCACATTGGAACAGAGTTCCGTTTTCTCTGCCCTCAAAACTGAAGCCACAGTAAAGATATACAAGCCTTTCTGCTCTCTGGTTACGAAGGCTCCAACCCTTTGAGAGCAGCTTTTCCTTTCTCCCAGCTTGAGTTTCATTGCAGATAGCGGATTGCAGCCCTTTGCTTCAAAATGATGTTTCCTCTACTGCCTGGGTACTCCAAGAGATTGCACTAGTTCCATTCATCACATGGGCTTAGCTGTGCTTTTCAGACCAGTCCAAGCG